AAATCAATTCTATTATTTCAGATAAGCAAACAAGTAGTTTAAATTACTTTTATGCCAATGCAGAAGCTCATCATGATACAAAGATATTCCATACATACGTAACAATACAATAGAAAGCACAGCAATAATAGTAGGATAGTTAAACCCTAGGCTACAGTAAGGGAGAATAAACCCAAGTGCAGCAGCCACAGGCACACAAACAAAGGAAAAAAATCACAGAATCACAAGGTTGGAAACAACCTGCAAGATCATCTAGTCCAACCACCCTCCCATTCCTATTAGTACCACAAGCACTAAACCATCTCTCGTAGGTCCTCATCCAGGAGCCTCTTGAACACTACCAGGGACGGCGACTCCACCACCTCCCTGGGCAGCCATTCCAGTGCCTGTCCACCCTTTGAGAGAAAAAGTTTCTCCTAATATCCAACCTAAACCTCCTCTGGTATAACTTCTGGCCGTTTCCTCGGGTCCTACTACTTGCCTGGGAGAAGAGGCCAGACCCTTTTGCAGCACAACCTCCCTTCAGGAAGTTGTAGAGTGCAATGAGGTCTCCCCTGAGCTTCCTCTTCTCCAGACTAAACAATCCCAGCTCCCTCAGCCACTCCTCATAAGTCTTGTGCTCCAGACCCCTCACCAGTTTTGTTGCCCTTCTCTAGACACGTTCTAGGGCCTCAATGTCTTTCTTGTAGTGAGGGGCCCAAAACTGAACACAGTACTCAAGGTGCGGCCTCACCAGTGCTGAGTAGAGGGGGATGATCACCTTCCTGCTCCTGTTGACCACACTATTTCTAATGCAGGCCAGGATACCGGTGGCCCTCTTGGCCACCTAGGCACACTGTCAGCTCACGTTCAGCTGAGCATCAACCAACTCCCCCAGGTCCCTTTCCTCTTCACAGTCATCCAACCACTCATCCCCAAGCCTGTAACGCTGCATGGGGTTGTTGTGGCCGAAGTGCAGGAAAAAAAAGGTGCTTACCTTCAAAAGGCCTCTAGAACAGAGGAACCCCCCCCCAGCAAAACACTCTTACTATGCCCCTACTGGCCCTTAAATGAGGTCTGGGAAGGGTGGATCCTGTCTTCACGCCTCCCAATCACTCAGCAGCATTGCATACACCTGAGCTCCCCTGGGTTGGCCCTGCCTTCTACCAGGTGCTCTATCAGTACTTCAAGTTGTGACTTAGCATTTCTGCTACTGAGTATTTAAGCTGTTGACGAATCACAGCAGGGACAGAAAATTGAAGTAATTTTTTGTGGTGAGGGAGTTGTTATTTTCCTTTGTGGCTGCTGCCACCAGGTGGCTAATTAGTGTATTTGATTATAACCCATAAATACCGTTTCTCTTTTACCTCTGGATGGTAAGTACTTTTGTATATATTGTATATATTATGTATAAATATGTTTCCTAGAGCTGTTGTTTTTTTTTTTTTTTTCTTGTATGTGATGCAAAAAATTTAAAAATAATTGATAAAGCAAAGATGTCATTAGTAGATAAAAATTGAGCCCAAAGGAAAACATATGCGGAAGGAGTTTTTCTGGAGATCAAAGAATGCATTTATCATTTTGTTGGTTAAAGGGTAAGTCAGCTGATAAAACTGCTGAGTTTCAAAATTTGCTGAAATTCTAACAAAGGAATTAAACATGGAGAAAAAGATTTCATCTTCCTTTGTGACTTTTACCTTCATTTGTTGTCTTTTAGATGGTTAGAATCATTTCAATGACTCAAGTTTCCCTTTTCTTTGTGGAGGGGGGAAGAAAAAAAATGTGAAAACTGCATTGTAGGAAAAAGACTTCATCCTAAGGTAATTTTTTTTTTCATTATTTTCCTAATATGGACTTAGCTAAGGCAATAAAGCTGGAACGCTTGAAAATCACTTTGTTTAAATTTAGGCATGTCCTGTAGTGATAACTTCACCAGTAACACAAAGAAACTGTTTGCTTAGTGCAGATGTGTATAGAACCTGAGTGTGGGATGGCCTTCTAGAATGCCACGGTTTTTCTGCATGGTTAGATTAATAAATAAGAGGAAAATTGATTATAGGGAACTACATAATAGCCTGGGGTCTGTTCAAAGCTAGCTGTAATGGCTTATTGTTTTCTATGTTACTTTATGATTAAAAAACACCACAGGTATCAGTAGATGCAGTGGAATCTATAATAATTAATTTTCAAAATTATATGTTTTGCATGTTACCTCAGTTCTTAAGCAACAGAGATTTGCCTTCATGTTCTTACTGTGCAGTTATCTTTGCTTAATTACTTTTGCAATTATATGCTTTTTCTTACTTTCTTATAGCCTTGTCAGAACCTATTAAAAAAAGAAAAATCAGGTCCTTTTTATATTTGATGTTATTTTCTGTAACAAAGGAATTTGTTTGCCATTTGACATAATCTCCCTCTGATGTAGTTCAGTAGCAGAAGTCACAACTTTATTTCTCTTCAAATTTGTAGTAGAAATAAAAGCTGACCTCCAGCGCTCTATGTCTCTAACTGACAATGTGGTTAAGGTAGAAATCTCTGCTTAGCAATAAATACAGTATTGTTAAAATACATTAATACAGCTATAACTGCAGTACATTTTACAAAGATATGTTTGTGGCCTTTTATAGTTCATGTTTGAATTTACTTCCTTAATACTACTTGAATACTGATGCTTAAGAACAAATTAACATGCAGTATTACTTTTGTATACTTTTATATTTCTAACTGTTTCAGAGGCATAGACCTCAATCTGTCAATGGGTCAAGACCTTAAAATAAAATCTTCAACATTATTTGGATATTAATTCATACTTAGATTGTGTAAGCTGTGAACTCGGATTTTGGAATTCTGCTGTATTCAGGTGATGAAACTTATAAAGAAAAAATGACTAAATCGATGTTGTTTGACATCACTGGGAGTGCTCACACTTCCTAAAGGTGTCTGAATCACCCAAGTCTCCCATCAAGTATTCATTAACACAAACACAATGCTTCTTTCTGTGGGAAGGTGAAATTCCTGTTCTACAGAAAGCAGGTAAGGGCAAACTTCTCCTTTCTGCAAAAAGCCAGAAAGAAGATGTGTCTAGAGGTGTGTTTGTTGAAGTGTCTGACTTCTCAGTGAGAATCTTCTGGAAAATGCTTAATAGGTGCCTCTGTTTCAAATGGTTGCTCTCAACAAACAAACCATTATTTTGTGTGCCAGGTAAAACCGGAGGATCAGTTCTGCCTACAGAGGTCACGCTGTAAGCTCAGCCAGTAGGAGTTGTGGCAGCTCTACTCGTGCTTTGTAGGGTGGGCTGTGTGCAGTAATGCTGTGTTTCTAGGAAATGACTACTTCTTGTTCTGCTGTTGTGTGTGAACAATTGAAAACTGGGTAATATGAAGAGAGAGAAATTTCAGAGCAGGCTGTGTATCTGTCAGCTTTGCCAACAAAGATCCACTTACAAACAATACATAGTTGCTTCCTTGATTAGTAAATCTCGACTGTGCAAGCACGTCTGTACAAGCATGCAAACAGCACTGCAAATAAGCTCGGCAGGGAAGTGCTTTTACAAGGATAAAGTCTGGCTAAAACCTGTGGGGCGAGACTAGCTGCAATCAGTGCACCCCTCACCACCCCCGGTTCTCGGAGGCAGGAGAGAAATCCCGTAGCCGGGAAGCCGCATCCTACAGACCCGAGCCGGGGCAGCGATGCGAGCTGTGCCGCTGAGGCCCGAGCTGCAGGCGGCGCCTCCCCTCGGGCCGCCCCTGCCCGCCGCCAGAGGAGCGCCCGCGGCGGAGGGCGGAGCCGGCAGGTGAGGGGCGGTCGCGGCAGCCCGCCGTGCGGGGACGCGCTGGAGGGAGTGGGCTGTGGGAGCTGCTGCGCTGCCGGCGGGCCGGACGTGCTCGAAGCATAGGTACAGCGAACCTTCTGAAAGCTATCTGCACTTACTAGAATGGCTAGAGCAATTATGAAGCAGATTAAAATCTGGCGAACTTTTTGAAACGCCTCTGAACTGCTGCGTTACGCGCAGGCGTTTCTGAATCTCTGTAAAGAGCTTCTGGGCGTGTTTTCAGTAATGAGGTTTAAGCATTAAATAAGAGCTGTAAAAGTAGGCTCGGGCTTAATGCACCTGAAAGCACAGCGCTCGAGTTCTTCTGGTGTCTAGCTTGCTTCTTAGTCTTCTGTAGCCATTGCTATTTACTTTGTTTTGTTGTTAATATGCAGTGGATGTAGCTAAATGAAGGCTGTTACAGTTGATGCTGTGCTTGAAATTGTTAGGGAAACTGAAACAGGGCCAGTCCTACATCAGCCTGCAGCTTAGTTAAGAGGGCTTTTTGCATAGGTACAAGTTGGTAAGGTTGGGGTCTTAATGGTTTATTCACAGAGCAGCTGTTCAACAGAAGATTAATAAAATAATTAGGTTGAAATCTTTTGCTCTTGTCCATTTTTTGTAGAAGATATTGGGAAAGAAAGGGAAAAAACAGGCAAAACCTTATCATGTTCCCTTTTCGAGAATGCCTACCCCTCTTCTAAAAGAAAGTATCTTTTCAATATAATCTAATAAGCTATAAAATCATGCTTTCTATTTGTTATTTGTTGTTTGAGGAGTAAGGTATGAAAAGTTTGTGGCTATTTATTTATTTTTTGTTATCCCTGTAATTGCGCCAGAAGATAATTGCAGTAATGACTTAATATGAAATTGCTCTGTGGAAGTTCAAACCAAAGAAGCTGTGGGGGTAGTGCTTCGTTAAAACTTCATGCAATTCAGCTGAAGTCTAGAAGGTTGTGGGCTTAGCTGGGGGGACAACCATAAGATATGTGCCTTATCACTCATAAATGTTTCCTCTGTAGCATCTGGGTTCTGTTTCTTGTTGTAGAACTTCCTCTGATCCCGATAATGATAAAGATTAACACTGAGATGCAAGTCAAGTAGAAGTTAAATGCGTTCTATGTTCACTTACTACAAGTAGAAACTTAAAGGCAATTTTATTTAGACTTCATCACTGTAGCAGAAAGATTGGCTGTAATGTAAGTACTTGTATTTAAATTTATAGAAGTTTGTTTAGAAAGAAGTTAGAAGTCTTAAATTTCTCCTTGAATGTCTTCAGTGTAGGAAGAGCATGAGGATGAGGCATGTGTGTTTTGTCGTCATGTGAGTCTAGGTGTGTGTTCCTTTTTCCATTCTGAGAAGTAAGGAATTATTGTGAATGTGAATACTGTCTGTTTTCTGCCCTTGCTTGTGCAGCTGTTCTGATACCACAGCATTTAAGTGAGCAGGAGAAATTAACCCGAGCTCCTTTTCTTAGAGGGAAAAATGATTCCTGAACAATATGGTTCCCTGTTTCTGTTTTTTAAGAATGTATTTCAAAGGAAATGTGGCAAAGTATCATGTGGGCAAAGACATCTTTGGTTCTTACAGCTTATTCTGCTTTAGACAGCTTTTTCCTTTTCTGCTTGCCCCTTTCTCTTATGGTGCTCTGGAGATAAATTTTGGCCATGATGGCTTTTATTCCTTTTGGTTGGCAATGTCTTTGTCTCGCCTCTTTTCTCCCTCTCTAAAACTAACCTTAGGTTTCATACTATGCAGCTAATGAAGTTCTGTTAAATAATTGAAAGACAATTTCTGCAAAGAGATCCTATGTTTCTGTGGGAATTGTGCTCATGTGCTCTTTGAGTTGCCAGGACTTTCTAAGCTTTCTGTGCCTGCAGAGACTAGGAGTCTTTTTCAATACAGGAATAAGTAAGCTTAAAGTGTGCAAGTTTAGCATGGACCCTCGTTCCCTGTGTTTTCTTCAGAGATACGCTGATAACACAGAAACACTGCCATGCAAGTGCTGTGTGTTTATAGATAGCTGCCCCAAGAAACATCTCTCTAACTTTTAATTCTTCGGTTGTTTTGTGGCCAGTTCTGAAGCCACATGGTAAATATCTAAATCAGGCTGCCAAATTAGCCAGCTGAAGGTGAGTATCTGTGACTTCTTTCATCCTTTCCTTCTTGGTGGCTGAGGGAAAATACAGCTGCTTTTTGTCTTTAAAACTGGATGGGTTTAATGTATCCATCTAATAGACCACTGAACTCCTTCCTGTGTTTTATACAAAGCCTGTTGGATAATCCTTTGCAATCCAGTTACTAGCTAAAGCTGCATGGATGTTTTTTGAGACTTTTCATAAAGATACAAACTGATTAATTAGCTACAGAGTGACTGATGTTATAATAATGTTTCCTGTCTTCATTCAGCATGTTTTACTCTGTAGGTGGAGGATGTGGAGTGCTGGAGTATATTTACAGGTTAAAAGGGAAAAGGGACTTTTCAAAGCAACTGAGTAACAAGTTAAAGAATAAATTTTAATCTGGAAGGTGCTATTCTATATATATATAAAAAAAAAAAAAAATTATCTCAATTCCCTGGAAGTACATAGAGAAGATTACTACAGTTAATCCTCTTTCAAAAATAATAATAAAAAAATAATTTAAAAATTGCTTCTCAGTACAGCACTTCTTTTCCCATTGTGGTGTTGGGCATTGTTTGTTCATCTGCAAGCTTTTGAGTCGAGGGAATCTGCCAAAGAGTATTACTTGTTTCAAATCCTTACCACATCCTCTGCTATTTCAACTAGAACGTGGACCTGCTCTTTTTTCTTGTCTCGTTGATATTCAGCTTTATCTCTTCTGGCAGCAGCTTTTTTTGAAGATTTCTTTTAGATGTATAAGTGAATTTAATACTTCAATTCTTCTGAAGCTTAGTTTTTAGTCTCCCAAAGACTTCCTTAACATACAAATCTCCATCAATGAATTTATTTCATTATTTATTTTATATATAATATGTCTATAATAAATATATATATATATATGAATATATATATATTTCACTAATGACATCTTTTTTTTTTTTCTTTTTTCTTTTTTTCTTCTTTTACTTTAGATATCAGAGCTCAGCTTGAAACAGCTCTGTGTCCTTCTTATCTTCACAACCATATGTGCTGTCAGGGAACTTCGTTACCTGATGTTTCTTATCACTTAGTGCAAAATGGACATGACTCTTCCATAAAGCAGACTCGTTTGCCTGGTACATGGTTAACAGCTCCAGCAGAACAACTTTTTTTTGGTCCAAAGATTGAAAGGATGGTGTCTTAGTTCTCCTAGCCCATTGAACATAAAAATTCTGGTTGACCTAATCTTTCTACAAATACTGGGTGCAACTGTAAGGCCTTCATGCTGCTGAGTAATGAAAGATACCACTGCTTTCCTGAAAACAGTATTGTGTCAGAGCAAATAATCACATAATAAATTCTGAGATTAAAGGGTTCTTTTAACTGTAATAGGCTATTCAGTAACATGACCTCACATGGTTTTTCATGTTTCTAGTTCCTTAAAGAAATCATATTGCTTGGATTTCCAGCATCCGAAAGAATTTCTAAGATAGTATTTTGCTTTTCTGATAAAAATATATTTATTTGTCTATCTTCTCGTATCAAATTCATGCCCTTCTTCTTGTATAAAATCTTTCAGACATCTGGTAACTTTAGTCTTCTGAAGAAAGAAGAACTTGTCACCTGAGAGTTCTTTGTCATATGTGGAGAAATAGACACGAGTTGTGGAAAGAAATAGCAGTCTGTGGTGATACATAGCTTGGAGCTATGATTAATAAATGAGTGGGAGTGATGTTAGCTTGGTATTTCCTCAATACCAAAATGAAAACATTTTAAGATTTCTCTATACTATATATTTGTTTAAAGGATTTTTTTTTTTTTTTTTTAGAGAATGGTATAGCTGTAAGTAAAAGAATTTCTTTTAGTGATCTTTAAATTTGCTAAGAAGAATAGCCCATCTATTCGTTATTAATACTCTTGAACATAAGAATGGCCTAAAACTCAATATCCAAGAATGTTCTTGCAATGCTCTGGTAGTTATTAGAATTACAATAAGGGATTAGTGTTTTCTCTTATATACTTTTGTTTGTAAACAGGTTTCTAAAAGTTAGTATTGAACTGACTCTTATAAGATGACTTGCAACCTGCAATCCAAATGTTTATTGTATTTAATTGCTCATTCAGATGGAGCTGCCTGGCCTTGCTTTTGTTGTTTTGATGTTTGTTTGCTTCCATGCATCTGTGGATGGATATCCAAATGGAAAAGTAAGAGAAGCCTGCACTAGCATGGTGCCCTGTCATGGTATCTCTCCAAAACTGTCGCCTGAGCATGTCATTACAGTTAATAGGACTGAATTTAAACCTGGGGACAGAGTAGAAGGTATGATCCCAATTACAACTTAAAAGCTTAATTAATTGCTTCTTTGTACTTTAGTATGTCTTTGCATGGGTAACTACGCCAGAACTGTGTAAGAAATTGAGTCTTGTTCAGTTGCCCCCTTCAGCAGCCACTCAGTGCTTGTGAAATGAGCTGGTTGTTGTGGAAGCATTTCATTTTTTCTCTGCAGGATATTGCAACTTTTGTTTTTTATTCTTCAGTTCAGCTGTCTGGTCCAGATTTTGAAGGATTTTTCATACAAGCTCGGGATGCAGAAGACTTGGACAGCCCTGCAGTTGGTTCTTTTGTATTAGTTGACCGGAGACATTCTCAGCTTCTGACATGTGGCCATACCACGGTACAGTCTACTATCTTAAAATGGGATGTTGGGCACTGTAGTATTTGTAGTAGTTCACATATGTAATAGAGCAGAACAAATCTTCCTACTCCTATTTTTGAGCTCAGTAAATCTCTCAGGAAATTACTATAACTTTTATTATATAGGCATGGTTCACTGCAATTTTGTCTGACTACTTTTATGAGCTATTTAAATTCTCTAGGTCATGTAATACTACTGTAGTAAGGTGTAGCAGGCATAACACAACTTGAGTACAATGAGTGTAATGCTCTGCATTCATATCCTTGTGCTTGTTCTTAAAAAGATGAGTATGTGCTCTACTTGCATTGAGGAGGAGAATTATTGAGGACAAAACGAATGTCTTACAGCGAGGAAAGTTTAGGCCAATTATTGTGGAAAACAAAGGCTAGAACAGGCCATTAACTGACAGAACTAATACAAAGGATAATGTTAGTGGAGCTTTCTTCTTAACAGGTTAGATCACAGTCTCGAGTATTTGTTTTAGATGAATTGGTTTAGCCTCACACAAAGGATTGACTCTGATCATTGTTTCAGTAACCAGCTCAAAATTTATGAACTTATTTGAGCTGGACTGAACAAAGTTCTCAAACTTGCCTGGATGCATTTTTCTTTCTCCTTGTCTTCCACTTGATACATATGGAATCCAATTATTCATTAGTACTTTAAGGCCAATGGTATTGTTGATCATGATTAACTTAAGAAGTTTTTGCTGTGACTGTATTTGCAGGGTAATGGTGCAATAATTCAGGGTTTAAATTAAAGCTCTTTAGTGTGTATTCTGTGTAACTTTTAATATGTTTGTTTTCAGAATTCAGCTGTTAGTCACACAAATAAAGCAAAAAAGAAAGTTGTAAAAGTTTATTGGATTGCTCCTGGAGATGCACCAAAATGTGTGCGATTTCTGTAAGTAGTCCTAATGTTAGTTCTGGCATATTAAAATGCAGAAGATGATGAACATGTGGCATTGTCTGTAGCAATTATTGGCCAGCAACCGGGAAGGGTCCCTGAACTAATGACCTGAAATGTCAACACATACACTGTAGAGTCTACATTAATGCAGGTGTTTGTTCTTTAGGGAAATCTGTGAGATGCTCATTTTATTTTTGAGATGAGAGTAGAATGGAGTTCTGCAATTTGGTATTTCTAGTTAACTGATGAATTCTTGTGCATATATGGTGCTGTAATACAAAGTGTGAATCTTTTTCTCTGTATGTAATATAATTCTCTTCCATTATACTGTCAGCTTTTTTCTGGAACTAAGGGATATAAGTGAAGTTATAAATATCTGTCTTCTAAGACTGCTGTTTGTGCAGGAAGCATGAATGTAAGGAACATGCAGTAGGGTGCTTTGACATTATTTTTCCATTGGTATTTTAGGTATTTTCCTACTTAAAACACAAGAAATGATAGAGGCCAGAAATATGCTACAGGAACAGCAGACTTTTTTTTTTTTTTTTAAGTAACATTCAGCTGTTGATGTATATAGTACTGATCAAGTGTGTGTGTGTGGGGGGTTTCTTAAGAGCCACAGTTGTGAAGAAATACAAGACTTTCTGGGTGAAGATTCCTGGTCCTGTTGTTTCTCAGCCTAATGCACCATTCTCAACAACACCCTTGTACACAACATCAGAGGCTGTATCAACTTCATATTCAGCTTCCTACTTAACAAAGTCTGTAAGTAATTATAAACCCAGGAAGTGCAATTTCTTATGCTTGTGATGAATGGAGTTTAAGACCCATTGATATGGTCTCAGATATTCTGCCCCTAGATTGGCAGAAGAGGGAAGATAAAGATGAGTAACTTGTGTACTGGATACTAAGAGCTTTAGATGTCCACTTTTTGCGTTAGGTTAATTACATTGAATCTGTGTGGGTTAAATGTCTCACATCACACATAGGCTAAGTTATAAATGTTCTCTCAGCTTTTTAAAGGCCAGATTTAAAAAAAAAAAAAAAAAAAAAAAATTGTATATCTGAGAAAAGAGGTGAGAATGGACTTCTTCTGATCTTGATTCCAAACCTCCTATTTAGTAACTGCAGGTTCAGAAAGTTTTGATTTAATCAATAGTATTGACTTCTGTTTCTTGTGTGAGGGAGAAACACTTGTGGACAGAGAAAGCATCAGTAGTTGATTCAGAGCAACACTGATTTCTAATGCATGTATTGTCTCATTGCTTATCAGTGGGATTTCTACTTTTAAAAAGGAAACAAAGCTGGTCTTCCTTTCTTTCCTACTCTACAGCTGATTTTGACTTCTCAAGATTAAACTAGGACGTTTTCCCCAAAAATTTAAATTTTAATTAAAAAATTAAAATTTACTGAATGAAGTCTTTGAAGTGGGAATTCAGTTTAACTAAAAATACATCTTACTATGTAAAATGGCAATAAATTCTACCCTCTGGTAACTGTAGGAGTGAATTAAGAAATTGGTATATGGGCATAGATAGCATACAAGGAAGTGGAAATAAGTGCCTTCTTCTAGAGTAGGTTGAAAAGGGAGGAAGGAGAGCGAAAAACCCTCATTGCTTATGTCATATTTGTTTGATTAATATTCTAGTTTAATGCATCAGATTGTGGAAATACGAAGTTCTGCCTTAGGAACCCTTCAAACTGTGATCCTGAGAATGCTTCCTGCTTTTTCCTATCCTTCCGTCAAGAGAGGAGATCAGTACTTATTGAAATGAGTGGTCCCAGTGAAGGGTATTTAGCATTTGCACTGTCCTATGACCAATGGATGGTGAGTATCCTATTCTACTTCTCTAGCTTCTTTTGTAATCCTGTAATCCTCGTAGAGTTTCAGTGGTACCTTAGCAAAACATGCATATGGAAAACTGAAATATTTCTAAATTGAAAACAAAGACATTTCTTTCTTATAGTGCCGAAGAAGAGGTAATGACTTTTTATATGTGGTATGGAGTCTTAGCTTGAAGCTGACTTTCTGCAGTAAATCCCCTTATGGATATCTGTCTTCACAGAATCCAAACTTAGTAATAGTACAGTAGCTGTTTGGAATTCTTGGTAAGATCAATCTTGCTTTGCTACCTAAAAGAGAAAAACCAAATCACTATTTGTTCAAAGCTATGTTGTTAAGTTTTCTGAAAACCACTTGAATTTCAGCATCGTTAACGCGAGGGACTCAATTCAATCTTTAAAATGTGTTCAGGGACTTTTAATTGCAGTTGAAGTGAAGGGAAAATGCTGCTGATAAATATGAAATCCATAAAGTAACAGTTGTACAAAGGAGATACTTCTTATTTTCATGTTCCTAGTAAAAGAGAACTTTGTTCTTAAATATTTTATATCTATATGGCTATGAGAAACCACTTCTAACTAAAGAGCTTTTTAAAATACAATCAATATCTGACTCCTATCCTTTTTGGTAAATTTAGTAGAATTATAAATATATAGAACAACTTCTAATAATGTTGTCACTTAGGGGTAGATGGGTAGGGTAAGTCATGATGTGCCTGTGACATCTGTTCGGCTTAATGTGGGTCCCCCGTAACACTGAGATGTTTGTAAGATGGGAAATAGCTTAAAAGCTAGAAAATTTTGTCTCGAGTCTTCTACTATACCTCTGATCAACACTACCAGTTTGTTGTATGTATTAAATCAATGTGCTTTAGGAGGTTGTCAGTAGGAGTTTTTACTAATCTATAAATACTTTTTCCTTTTAAACTTTCTAGGGTGATGATGATGCATATCTGTGTATTAATGAGGACCACCATGTTAGTGTAAGCACTGCTTACCTGAAGGGACGAAGTCCTCCTGTTCTGGATTCAAAGGTATACAGAAGCATCTAAACTTTCCAACAAAAATGGGTTTGAATTGATGAGTAGTCTATGACTGCTTTGTGCTTTTATTTTGAAAAGCAGTTGTAAATAGTAAGTTAAATGTAGAATTCTTTAAAGTGAGAATGGTTAGGCTTTCTCTTCCTAGGAAACTTTACCTTTGAAAGCCTAAATTTGTTTTAAAAATAAGTAATATGATGAGAGAACTCAGTACACTATGTTCTACTAAGGAGAGCATATTTATGAGTTGTAAAAACTTGTGGTAATAAATACAAACCTTAGGTTGCTACGCTGACTTACTGATGTACCTTCTGAGTTATTATACAAAAGATTTTTCTTTCCCCAGATCATTGCCTCATCATTTCTTTGTGCAAGTGATACTTGCAAGGCTAACTTTAAACTAGTTACTCTCAAAATTTCTTTGGATGTATTAGCACAGCAAAAGGTGAAGCAAAATGAAGTCTTGACATTTTAGCTAGAAATATTTGCTTAACCAGGGGGTTTAAAGCAGAAAAGTGAGTTAGGACCTCTGTAGTACATAACCTTGTTAGAGTGGTGAGGTGCTGGAACAGGTTGCCCAGAGAAGCTGTAGATGCTCTATTCCTGGGGTGTTCAAGGCCAGGTTGGATGGGACCCAGGCAGTCTGATCCAGTGAGTGGCAACTCTGCCCATGACAGAGGGTTTGGAGCTAGATGCTTTTAAGGTCCTCTACAACTCAAGCCAGTCTTTGGTTCTGTGACTGCTGATCTTACTCTTAACACTTTCTTATGGTTGTACTGGGCTTTTACTTTGTCTGTGTTCATGGTTCTACAGAGAAGGCTGGTCATTTATTTGCTATTAATGTATATCTTATCTTGAAAGCAGTTGACCCAAATTGTGATGGTCTGACACTAGAGTTAAACTAGATATTAGGGAAAATTAACTTACTATGGGGGTTGTCAAACACTAGAAGAGAATAACTGTTAAGGTAATTGATACCTGGTGCATATCAGTGTTCAAGAAGCATTTAGATAATGCTCTTGATGTGCTTTAATCTTCAGTCATCCCAAAGTAGTTAGGCAGTCGAACTTGATTTTTACCTTCCAACTAAACTGTTTTATATCCAATGCTCTGTTACTGTATTACGATCATCTAGAACTGCAGAGGTGAAAGAATTACCTCTTGCTTTTGTTAGTGTAAGAAATGCTTTATCTCATTACTTGAGATATCACAGGAATACTGTTTGTGTTGCCAACTTGAAACAAGCTCAAGCAGTGGTCTTCAAAGCAACAAAAGAATTGTTTGTCTGGAAAAAATGTTTTCTGTTTCACAGAATGCTCTTGAAGATGTGTCATGGAGGCTTGTGGATGGTGTTCTTCAATGTTCTTTTAGAAGGAATATTAGTCTCCCTACATATAAGGGGAGGTTTAACATGAATGCCAGTTACTACATCTTTCTGGCAGATGGGGAAGCTAGTGAAGGTAAATCTGATGTGTGGTTGCTTTTATTTTTTTTTTATTAGCTCTAATTGAGTTGCCCCAGTATAAGATACATTATCTGTAAAAATTAGTATCCAAACTAAGGAGTTGATTTCCAAGCTTGTGTGAGTCACTTTGTCCAGTCATCTTTATTGTCTCTCAGATTTGCTCTTGGAAAATAAAGTAAGCTTACTTGTATACTTGTGTTGCATGCCCACTTGATCCTAGCAACTTTTATCTTCTTGAAGGCTGGGTGCATCCATTTTAAAATGGAGAATAGCATCAGCAGGAATTATTCTTCACATCTTGTGTGTGTAGAGATCTGTTTTCTCTGGAGGAATGATTGGTTCTTGTACGTTAAGTACATACAAGGTAGATTAGAAGACATCTTCGAATTTTGATTCACAAGCTGTGTTCCTACCTTATTTCATGTTAGATATTTTGTGTAACTAGCCTCCATGGTGACAGTAGGGTTTAAATTCATAAATAAGGATTAGATTTATTTTGCAAGTGCTGTAACTCTCATATGCCTTAACTAAACAATTTTATCACTGGTTAGGTGGTCCAATATATAAACATCGCCGTCAGCCTCTGATCACCGATGGAATGTACAATGTCACAGGCATTCCTCAGGATATTGGAGGTTCCCGCTCCCCGAGACTTATCAAGGCTCATGGTAAGCTGCACTTTTTAGCTTTGACTTCCAGTCCAAGATCGGCCGAGACTAGAGAGCTGTTTTACTCACTATTGTATAGTAGGTATTTCCTCTTGTCTTTCTGTCATTGGCATTATACATACTGTTGGATAGCAAGATCTGAGACTGTGAAGTCAGAGTAAAGTTATTGTTTTCTATTTCAAGAACATTTCAAGAGAATTTTCTCAATTGATAGTCCAGAGTCAATGAGAGGATTATTTTCTCATACTGAAATGTAAACCAGGCTCATGAGAAAACTGTCACTCATTCTGTTGAAAGCTTGTAATAAAGATCAATTATCATTCTTTGTATAAGCTTGTATGAGCTACTCCATCATGCCAAGAGTGTTGTAAACATCTTTATATGGATGATCCTACCTGTTAGCAAGATAAAATGCTACAGAATTTTAGACAGCACTAGGTGATTAAAAACTTATCAATGGCGTATTCTGACTGTATACATACAAAATAAGCCATTAAAACACAGACTGAAGCAGTATTAACATGCAGTTGAATTAGTCATAATTAACTGTTTCTTTTTTTTCCTGTTTTTCAGGTGCACTGATGTTTGTTGCTTGGATAAGTACAGTTAGTATTGGTGTAGTTGTTGCACGATTCTTCAAGCCTGTCTGGACTCATTCATTCTTATTTGGAAAAGAGTTATGGTTTCAGGTGTGCAAAATCTCTCCCATATCTCTAGCTGTATGTTCTGCCTCTAGTTGGCAAAATTAAAACTTACTGGATCTTAGAAATAAGAGTTCAAATTTGATGTTGTTTTCTTTATTTAAACTTGCAGAATAACTGCAAATCAGAAATTTACCTACTTCACTAGTAAAAGCAAAGTCCAAAGAGGCAGCTAAGAACATTCTTACCTACAGATCATTAGATGTATTTTAATATTTACTAGAAAAGTTATGGAGTTTCTAAATGTGAACTTCATTTTTCCAGGTGCATCGTACGCTTATGTTGACCACCGTTATGCTTACCAGCATTTCTTTTGTATTGCCTTTTATATACCGAGGTGGTTGGAGCAAAGTAAGTGTAGTTTTTATTTTTAACTCTTACTAATATAAAAGTAGAACCAAATGAATGAGAAGTAGGTCCATTGCTGATTGATATGTTATAACTATTGTCAAAGAAATTTCCTGTAAATCTGTTAAGAAGGCTGACTTCAGATTCTAGCAAAATAGATGAGGTATGTTCCTGCCTTCAGCAATAAGTGGATAAAATTCCATTGGATTTTCCTTCCTTCCTCTTTCTCCTAAATGAAATCCTTGATTACACTGGGGTTCAGGCAGGGATCTGTTGCTGTCACCTGTATGTTACCTGATGCAAGGTGATTCCAGAAACAGGGAAGTTCTCCAAGAGAATCTCTAGAGAGAATCTCTATTAAAGGTGGGATACAAAAGTCATAGGCATGAGTTGATAGCTAGGGAAAATGAATAAATTCTTTTCGAGTAAAACTAGAACAAATGGAATGAAAGGGGAAACCAGTATTGGGAAGAGTTAAGAAATAGGCCTTTTCTAATGATATGTGGTTGAGGATGAAGAGTTTACAGCATTGCTGCTACAGTAATACCACTCTTCTGTTTAGGTGGAAGAATTTCTTTGTACAACAGAAAAATGAGGCAACCCCTGAGCAGACTTACTCATGCCTCCTTCTCCTTTGGAGAACCACCTCCATTCAGCTGTGTTCTGTCACCATTATCAGTTTAAGCACACTGCTGTTCTACCACTATGATTTACTTTTGCTAGCTTATGTAAAATTAACATATTTCTGATATTTTTTCCTATATCTTTATATGGATAAGATATTAAACAAAAAATGCTTTTATGTTTAGCAAGCAGGTTTTCATCCGTATCTTGGCTGTACTGTGATGGCTCTGACAATCTTTCAACCTCTTATGGCAGGTTTCAGACCATCTCCTCATGCACCAAGGTACTCACAGCTAACTTATTAAATTTTAATCACAGAAATAAAATGTTTTTTTACCTGCTTTAGATAAATCTTTTCAGTATCTGTTTTCAATTATTTTTTTTTTTTTCCTAAACATAATAAAATGCTTTTTTTTTTTTTTTATTTTATTGCATAGGAGGCAATTGTTTAACTGGTTTCACTGGAGTATTGGTACAACTGCTAGAATACTAGCTGGTGAGTAGGAGTGATAGTTGTAACTGTCTTTTATGTGATATGAAGAAACTCATGCTGTTAATTATCTAGACTATTATTCATCTAGAGCATCTATCTGGACATCCAGATGTTTTCTGGTGTGAGGTAAGTTATTCTAATTTTGAAACTGAGGAAAAAACTAACAACAAAAAATCCAAAGGATTTAACAATATTATATGGTTTGTGTTTTTCCTACGCTTAGCCCAGTTTAAGGTGGAGGTGCAAAATTTGTTGTCTTACCTCATAGCTTTCACTTCGTAATATGAATTCTAGAGATTTTTCTTTCTCTTTTTCATGGCTATCTTCTGCACCTTTAAAGGAGAACAAGTGGCTCATAATACCAAAGTGACTTGGACAAATTTGTTCTTACAGTAACAAAGCTCAGTGTTGCAGTCTTGTTTAAATTAACTTACAGGACTACAAACTGGTTTTTATTCTCTTTGTGGAGAAAAGGTTCCGCAGTAAACTTAGTCACAGAAGTTTCAGTGACTGTGGTCATCCTCATAGTCAGAAATGCTCATGCTTTTATGGCTGTGAAGAGCACTGTGCAGGATAAAAACTGGTCTTCTGGCCTTCTTTCTGTTTCCATACCCATTCCATACAGCAAAAGCTTCTTAGTTTCACAGACTCCTTTAACCTCACTCCCTCAGAAACTATAGGTATTTTGTGGGAAATCTGTTCACAAAGGTGTGTTTAAGAAATTTGTTTTATTTGCCCTGACACAGCACTCAGCATCTCTTCATCTCATTTTTACTGATTAGTGGTTACTATGTTCTTGGGAATGGATCTGCCTGCACTTGACCTACCAGACCCATGGGACACTTATACAATGATTGGTTTTGTAGCTTGGCATGTTGGTACTGATGTTCTTCTGGAGATACACAGCTACTGTCTCATACGTAAAGGTACAAGTCTAACTGAACTTATTTTCACCTTGCTTGCAAAAGATCTGAGTGAGCTGAATTTCAAGAGGTGTTTTTTAGTTTCTAACTTACAAGCTGAAGGGAATAACTAGGAAATAATGGTGCACAAATTCATATAGCAGTAAAAAAGTTTTCAACTTTTAACTCATAACTGTTTTGCTCAGCTCAGATCTCGCTATCTTGATTCATTCTATTGAAAGACAACTTTGTTTTGTCATCTTAATGACTGTAACCTACTTTCTGTAGGTCAACCCAATTTTGTTTCCGCTCTAAAGTTTGTGAAATGTCAAATGAGTTCCAAGTGCTTTTCAAATTTGGTGCTTTACAGGAGTGATTTACTTAGCAGAAGTTTTGATCCTATGACTATATGAATACAAAAAAATCCCTTCCTCTTAAGAGCAGACAACTGTATTTTTTTCTTCCACATAACAGTTGAACTGATAGAGGATGACAGAGTACAGATACTGCAGTCACTCACATCTGCAGAAGCAGAAGTAAGTAACCATTTTTACATACCTACCCTGAGATGATGTTTTTAAAAACAAATAGAAAGACTAATACTTCTGTGGTTTTACTTGTTTTCTTCTATTCTCTTGCAGGGTAACCTGTTTAAACAGATTGTGTTAACTATTTATGTCTGTGGAAACATAATATTCCTCATTGCCTTCCTGGCAGCAATCAACCAAGTATGAAATAAGAAATGGAGAACTTTGCAGTGAAGTACCATGCAGCTGAAAAACATGCAAGGAATACTTTCTATTGTGTTTCCGTCAACACATCCTTGAAGATGTGGTTGAAGAGCAATAGCATGTGTACAAGGGAGAAAAATTCAAATCAATAGAATGCTGGAATTCTGCAAAAGCTGCCTTCAGGTGTTATTTTTAATGGGAGTCTTTGCCTGAGTAAGGAATGAAGTTGGTGTTTTTTTTTTTTTTTTTAAGTATAATAATTTACGTGGTTAGAGTTTACAGGCTAAGAAGAGTCAGAAGATGCACTGAAATAACTGTTTTGATAGTCACAGTTCCCTAAACCTTTTGGGCATATTACTGGAAAAACTGGAAAGTGTGATCCCAATTCTGTGTTCTGATGACGTTTTGACAGTCTCCTGCTTGTGACAACTTTGTCCCACACAAAGGAAAAAAAAACTTACTGAGAAAATCTGCCACAAATGCTTGAGCTAAACATTGAGCTAAACATTGTTTATCTTTGCAGTTCAATGCAAAAATTATTCTCTGCTCTAAGAGCAGTGCACATTTACAGGGATAAGGGCTTGGGAACCTTGGTTCTTTAGTAAGATCACCATTTTCATCATTCAAGATACTGTTTTGTTCTCTCAGTGCTTCCAAGGCATAACAAGGAAAGCATGTTTGCAAATGTACATTAAAACCTAGTTCTGCTTATCCAAAACTCAAACAGGAAAAACCTATCTGTGTGCATGTACTTGTTCTGCTGTCTCTGGTCACTTGTTGCTTCTGAATTGCTGTTTTGTACAAATAACATGGGGCTTATGCAACTTGATTCTTAAAGATAAGTGAAAATATTTGCTCAGTTATATTGCAGTTGTATTTGCTCTATTGAATGCGCTGCTGAAATAGTGATTTGGTAATAGTGATATAAGGCCTTTCCTGACACATTCCAGTATCTTCAAATCAAAGTCTTGTTAATTTTTTTAACACCTCCCTGCCCACCTGCATGACTAGTAAGAGGAAGCAAAGTGATTGTATTAGAGTGACTCTCCCAAAATTTCTGTTACGATCTTTGAAAATAAAAATAAAACTATAAAAATGAAAAAAACACCGTGCAAGTGTTTGATGGAAAAAAACAGGTAGCAGGAAGTTTGGTTCTAGAGGCACTGGTGGCTTAACATTGTTTAGAAGGAGACTCCTGGCGTTTTTCTTCATAAAGGAGTCCTGCTAAAGTTGACAGAAGTTTTTATGAAAAGATCAAGGTTTTGATGTTTCTGGTCTCGGATTAAGCTTCTGATGACAAATTAATGATATCATATTTCAGATTGGTTCTTTCTAGATTGGTAAATTCTCCCTATCAAGTAGGAATTCACCTCAAAATACTGCTTATCTGTTCTTGAAAGCTACAAATAATGTTTCTTGAATATGTTTCAGAGAAAACTAGGTGGTGCAAATTGCTTAAATGCATTTGAATTTATTGCTGCTTTGCTTTACTTGAAATCTTTTTTTTTTTTTTTGCAAGCAGAAGTTTGGGTGCAAGATGAACAAAGATTGGAAAACGTTTTTAATGCCAAACACTGAACTATTTGTTTGTTTTGGCAAAAATCATATGTAGAGGCACGTATTGGGTGTAACGTCAATGTTTTTTCTTTCATTCAGGTTTGAGAAGGCTGGAGAGATCTTGCCTGTTATTTTCTATCACTACTTGTAACACTGTGTGGCGCTCTTGTTCAAACAGCATTTTTATTTGCCCACAGTGTAAAGTTCAGGCACGTAAACAGCCTCCAAAACAGGAAGTCTTCCTAGACAAAATATTCATAATTTATCTCAAGCTTTAGATTCGAGCCAGTTCATACAGGTAGACATAATGTCTATGCTTAAGATCTGTTGGAACAGTAATGACTTGCTTTCTTTTGGAATAAGATGTGCTTTACTCATGAACATCTTTTTTTCCCAAACAACTTAAGATGAGTGACTATCATGGAGCAAGAGGGATGATCTGCAGTACTCCTGAGAAATTCTTAGCTCAGATCAGTGTGATCCTAAGCTTTAGGGTGCATGTATGTGTGAAAGGCAGAGCTGTTCCATACGCTTTTCTGAAGGGAGTGGTACAGCAGGACAGACACAGGAAAAGTGAAGAACCACCCCCACGAACCCCCACTCAGCCAGATGCCAATCTAAAATTTTAAAATTCTGCTTGTTGTTGTTCCACTATCCAAGAGGTTGGTAGTAACAAATCAGCTTGTGCTGTCTGTGGTGTTTTTACACTACTTTCTGTTTTTTGGAACTGAATTTTACCTGACAATCTGCTTAATATTCATAGTTCTGATGTCTTCTCGGTTTCTTTCCTTTTAAACTATTTCTGTATTGTGTTTGCCAGATCATTTAAGGATATTAGTGGGGAATGCAGAGAATGAGTGCCCAAATGTCTGCTTCTATTATAAAAGCTGCCTGTGTCACTTTTTCCTACTGTCCTAATTATATCCCATTGAGAACTTGTAAAATACATCTTAAAACAAAAACAAACAACTGAGTGTAACTGTCAGAACTAAGCAGTAACGGGAAAACAAATGTCTTCAGAAAAAAAGAAAATTTCTACAACAAATAAAGTCAGGCTAGATGTAGAGAAAATGTAATTGTTTATTCATTTCCATCTCCAGGTAACCATCTTTCACAATTCCTAAAATCTGAGATTATCTGCTCACTGTCTACTTCAGACTGGGACCACCACCTGCTTAGAGGCTTTGTCAGCTGGTTGCTACTGTTGTGCCTCAGTATGAGGTAGCGGCTTCATTTTCCTGCTTTGAAACGAGGAAGGCAAGCAAAAGTTATTTCTGTTCTTTGGTAGTTATTTCTGTTATTTCTACAACAGAACAATACAACCTGACCTTTATCCACTTAGCAATTCAAACCAGTCTAAGACCTACCGAAAGTAATGCTATCATACTGATTTGAATAGAAGGATGTAGAGTGATGAGGCACTTTTCTCCCAAGAACCTGGTATTAGAAAAATGACTAGCATGTGACTTTCCTATGTGTAATTATACCTTATGGCTACTCTAAGTGCTGTAGCCTTCCTCCATTGTGGAAAGAATGACCATGTTGAATGGTGGGACTCCGCTGCTTGTTGGGGACCCATACCCAGCAGCAGCTGCCCCCAGAACAGACCTGTTGTAGCTGCAGGATGAGCCATTGACAAGTTGGTTTCTGATGGGAGATCTGCACTAATTTTAGCTCCCCTGGCTGATGAAACCTGCGGACTAAGCAATAATGTTAATGACTGACAGGCACTGCCTGCCTGGCAACCAGCTTTCTGGAAAAGTAACACATTGTGTAGTGAGCTAAGGAGGTGAAGCCATGCCTGGGAGGTCAGGCTGTTTATAATATTATGCATGGGGTCTGTGAGGGATGGGCAGGAAACATGCATGTGATGTGGGGAGGGGAACAGGATTTTAGCATTGCTGTACTGTCCTATATAGAGGAGAAGGATGGGTGGACTATGGTGCTCTAGAAACGTGGCTAAATACTTAAATGTGGGCTTTACTATTTTAATATTGTTCTACTCTTAAAAAGGAATGCTTCAAATTTTGGACGAGATACTAAGTTTGGAGATCAGCTTTTATATAGACTTTTTTTCTGGCCTCTATCTCTCATACTTAGTTTTTAACTAATGTTTAAAAAAAAAAAAAAAAAAAGGTTTGAACATCATTTTCAATCAAACATCAGACCAGTATGCTTTAAAGGGAACAGCATCCTGTGAAATTCCCTGGAGGTGGGTTTTATCTGCTGTGTATGTAGCAACAATATATTTCTGATTGTGGGGACAGGTTATGTGTCTTCCCTCTTGGATACACACTGCATTTATGGTCTTGGGCAACTTTCTATTACTTTACAAAATTCAGGATTTAATTTATGTCTATGTGGCACAGTCGGTTAAAACTAAAAGTCTGTTGGAGTCCATTAGGTTATGCAAAGTGCAAAATAACCCAGATGCACAAAACAGAGGAGCAAAACACTAGGCATTAAGATCCAAAATGTATACTGAAGAAACTCCTTAGCTTTATACTGCTTTGAGTAGTAATTTCTACTTCCATGTCATACAGCTGTTAAATCACCTTTTTCCCCAGCTTTGCCATTCTCATCCTCAGAGCTGAAAAAAAGAAAACAAAGCCAGTGTTATTTTAAGTCAAACTTAATATTTCTGGTACTAAATCACTGTATTTAGAATAATGAAGAATACACATACCTCCAATGGTGAATCCAGCAGAATAAGCATTGTTTTAGTGTTACAGAAAGAAATTAGTAGAAGGCATTAGTTCTGGTTACTTTATTGCAAAGTGAACATATATTTAAGAAAAAAAAATCCCATTATTGCTACTTGAAAATTAGCACAGCTCTCTTGTTTTGTTTGCTGCCTTCACTAACACATTGCAGACAGATGGTATTGTCCTTTACAAGATGCTGGCAGATTAAAAGGATGCATGAATAATTAAACAAACCCTTTGTTTAAACTAAACTCCTCAGCAGGAGCTGTAACTGCTTGGAAACATTTCTCTTTTATGTTGATGTTCAGGGAACTTTCCTTTTCCTGGCGCAGTGAGTCAGGGTGGCAGTTAGTCATATTCTCAAATTAAATCTGACAGAGTAATTTATCTGTATAAACATCAGTATGGCTGTAGTCTGTAGCTGGATATAAGGTAGGTTAGTTCGAAAGTGACAGTGCAGGGCAGATGATTAAATGTTAAGGTTATTTTTAGAACAGCAATATAATGCTTTCGTTTGATACGTAGGAGCCTCCCCCACTAAGCTGTTGATCTGAGAATGCAGTGGCAATAATCTTCAGCCCTCTGACCTGGTAGTTTGAAGAGTCCCCCAAAATAGCATCTCTTCCCTACACTCTGTGTACTGGGACACAAGGAGGTCAAAGCAGCTGTTTACTTGATTTATGTAGATCATCAAATGTCCAGCTCAAATTCTGTTTTGATCTCTGAAGCTTCTGAGGTTTGCAACAACAGACACCTGTGTGTAAGCTTATGTGATGGGACTGGAGATGTTAAGCTTGGCTTACGAAGAACTGAGTACTGTCTGCAGACCAAAGAATTCAAGAGGATTTGAATCTTGCTTGTTGGTTTGGGAGAACAATTTGTCTGAGATGTCATTTAAAAATGTGCCCCT